AAATTATATTTTAAATTTAATTAAGTGAATTAACATAGACTTAATAAATATGACCATGCTAATGCTGTAGTTTGTTTGAGTAGTTTATTTGATTGCATCCCAATGTATGAAATGTGAGATCAAATGAAACTAATGATTGAAACCCCGAATAGTTTGCGAAATCAGTGTTAAGTGAGAGACACATCACTACTGACAACACATTAGAGACCAATGAGTGCTCCAAAGCCCGAAAGCGGGTGTCAGTGTTGGGCGCCGGGGCCTGGGGTACAGCCATCGCCAATCTCATCGGCCATAATGTGGTCCGCAATAAACACCTGTTTCACGAAGAAGTGGTGTTTTATGTGAGAGACGAGAGCTTACGACTGATCATTGAGAAGACGCGACAAAACATCCGTTATTTGAGTGCAATAAAACTGCCCCTAAATGTGAGACCTGTCGCCGCCCTCAGCGAAGCCGTCTCCGAATCAGATGTCTTGATATTTGTGATTCCGCACCAATACATACAGGAGCTCTGCCTCGCAATCAACGATTGTATCTCATCTCGAAATCCAATCGGCATTTCCCTCAGCAAAGGGCTTCATATCGATAGCGCCGGGGGTTTGGAATTGAACTCGCAAATAATAAACCGAATGCTGGGAATCCAAGTGGGAGTGTTATCAGGGGCAAATATCGCCATAGAGGTCGGATTGAATCAGTACAGCGAAGCCACTCTCGTGAACCCATTGCCTGACGACACGCATTGCCAGCAATTACTGCGGTCTCTGTTTGAGAGCAAACACTTCAAAGTGTCGTTTTGTAGGGACGGACCCACTGTCGAGATGTGCGGCGCTCTCAAGAATGTTGTGGCCATTGGTTGCGGTCTTATCGACGGATTAGGTTACGGGATGAACACGAAAGCGGCGGCCCTTTCGTGCGGAGTGCGAGAAATGATTCGCTTTGTGGAAGTGTTTCATCCGAAGTACGAGTTGAAGACATTCTTCGAGAACTGCGGAATCGGAGACATCATTGCCAGCAGTTTCGGCGGAAGGAATCGCAAAGTGAGCGAAGCGTTGATTAAATCCAATAAAACGATTGAAATGCTTGAGAAGCAACTTCTGAAGGGCCAGAAACTACAGGGCCCGCAGACGGCACATGTAGTCTATGAGCTCTTGAAACACAAACAACTATTAAATAAATTTCCATTCTTTGCGGCCATTCATGAGATCTGCATCAGAACACTGGACCCCAAAGATCTGATCCAAGCCATCAAATCTAGTCAATAATATATGAATTATTTATTGCTATTTATTAGTCAAATTGTTTTGATAATCTCAACACTTAGTCAAATCGGAATTAATTTAATTTTGAAAAACGTTATTTGTATTATAATGATCTGACAATCGAAATACAGTATTAACTGTTAAGATATTTCCAATTATATTGTGATCAATGGTTTGATGAAACTATTTACTTAATTGTTAGTGAATTTAGTGTTTTTGTGTAATTTTGGAGCAATAGTTACAGAAATCGTGTTAAATTATCTCAAATATTATATTTGGATGTTTTTACATATTTATTGCAATAAAATATTCGTTGTTTAAATCAAATAAAACCTAATTTATTGCCCCGCGATAAGTTATTATTAGAAGTAATTAAAGTTTTTATACGAAACATAAATATTTATATTTCCCTAACTTATTAAAGCATCATAAATAGTTTCTAATTTGAATTTTAAGTTTTAGTCAAATTGATTTCATATTAATAATGTATTTGAAATACCATTTTCATAGCCAATGTATATGAATGTAATGAATGAGAGCCACAAACATAATGTGCCGAAAGGGTCTGAAACCCATTTTCGAGTTGTCATTGTTTCGCCACAATTCGAGTCTTTGACTTCATTGAAGGTAAACAATAGACGATTGTTACGATTGTATGAACAAATCTGATCCCATTTATAGCGACACCGTTTGGTGAATGAGGCTCTCAGGCAAGAACTCGACGCGAATATTCACGCCCTCGCCATACAAGCCCTCACACCCGACCAGTGGTCGCACGAGCAGTCTGTTAATGAGTCGCCGACATGTAGGGGAGGAATGGGATTATGAGACATAATTGTGGACAATTATAATTATCTAAAAATCTTCAATGTCTAAATTCAAATATAATAACAATTTTTAAAATCAAAATTTTAATTTTAAAGTACTGATATGTTTTTGCCATTAAAATAAATAGTATTTATTTCAATGACTTTTCATTTTGCGATAATTGCAGACATGTATGAGAGAAATGTTGATAAACCTAATGCTAAATGAAACAAAAGTGCGAGGAACGGGAATTGAACCCAGGTCAATGGATTAAAATGTTTATTTAAGTATTATTATAATAGTTAGAAATATTGAATTTGAATTAAATTGATCCGAACAGTTTAATAATAAACTTTATGATCTAACTTTTAGCATGAGTTTAAGCTTTGGCTCATACAGTATCAAACTTTTAATAACTATTTGAACGATAACTCGTGAATAAAGTTTTTGTTATGCAAATAAATGTTTAAGTAAAAGTTTAGGTTTTAATTATTTTTGTTAAATATTTAAACATTTATTTCCATAATATGCAAATGATTTTTAAATTTGATTTTCATTCAAATGAAGATAAGTGTATTTATAATTGAGACCCAAATTTACAATAAGAGTTTAAACTGTAATTATTAATACTTTTGATGAAAGCAAATGTTTGTATCGCAAACTCGTAACAAATTCTCATTATTTAAACACTTTTTATTTGATACCCAAATCATAATTTATTTATTGCTTGTTTTCACAAAAACATTACATTCATCACTAAATATCAAAATAAATTTATGCGAAACAAAAGTGTTGTATAATACATTGGCTGTAATTATGTGTACTCTTTGCGATATAAAAGTTTATATAATATCCAATAAAAATTATGACTTATTTTGCATCACAAGTGATGTGAAGTATAAAAGACTTTCACAATAGAGTACTTGATTTCATTCAAATATTTGAGAGTTTTTATAAATAAATTAAAAATAGTTATTAAGAATTATATATAGAATTGGAGTTTTCGTAGTTGTCGGACGAGTTTTTTAGTTATATGTAAGAAATAATAGTTTGTGTGGTGTTTGCATAGCTATAGCCGACACACAAACATTCATTTCACTGCTAGCACTGGCAGTGGTGGCAGTGGTTTCGCATTGAATACCTATTTATAAGTTATTACTTCATACCTATGCATAGACTATGAGAACGTAAAAGTGATTGTGTTTTCCTTCACTCAATAGTCATTTAAATGTATGAAAATATATTTTAAACGCCAATTGTTAGCCAAGTTTTCGAGTCAATGATTTAATATATAGCATGTTTTAAATCCGCGATCAAACTTTGCTACAGTTTTGTGCGAGAAATTTATATTCGTTTCATTATTTTCAAAGTTAAGAAACTTTTTTCTTGAGCCAAACCTATTGTGCGATTGAGTGAAAGAGTGCTCTAAAAGTTTGATAACTTGAAGAATAGGCAGTGTTTACATAACCTACTGATGAGGACAATGACACCGACAACTCGAGTCAGCCCTTTGCTGCACTGTTTTCTGATCGTATTGTTCGCCAGAAATTGTATTTCCATTAAATACAACATTTGGTTCAAATACCCGCAGCCCTACAGCCCGGCCGAGCCGCTGGTGTACTGCAAGGAGAACACCACCGACACGACCACCAAGAGTCAGGCCAACTGCACGGCACAGATACCCCTCTACGTGAATACGCTGGACTCGGAGCGGGCGTATGTCCCCTATTCGTACAATCAGTTTGACTTCTGCCCGTCCATTGAGGGCTTCGAGTACTCGGAATCGGATTTCATTGAATGGGACGACAGAATATTCCGGACCTCTTATGACATCCAATTCGAGCGCAACGAACAGTGCAGACTGCTTTGCAAACGACCCTTTGATTTGAGCAGAATCTTCGATATACACCGAATCAGTGTCTTAAAGATGTTGATGAATAAGCAGTACTATCAGCACATGTTCGCCGACAACTATCCCATGTCCTGGTGCTACAGCCAGAACCCGTTGGAGTGTTTCGTAGGCGTTCCCGTCGGCTATTACGTGGACTCTCACGGAAATCCAAACGATCCGCGAATTAAGAAGAGAAGTGATACCAAAGCCGACACTTTTTATCTCTTCAATCACTATGACTTCACTTTCATGTATGAGAGCGGCGTTGGGAAGCCGTGGGGCGACAACTTAGGGGACAAAGTGGGACGCATTACAGCCATTAAAGTGAGGCCCAGAAGCATAAAACACGAGAAAACCAATTTCAAGAACTGTGCCCTCGACTCACCCCTCCTTGAAATACCCAATTCTGTGAACTACTCGTCCGCTTTCACTGTCTATTACTCCTATTCCGTCACTTTTATCAGAGATGACTCAATGGTTGCCGAGAATCGCTGGAATTCGTTGCTGTCATCCCTTTCCGAAAGCAATACCGGGAAGTGGTTTATAATGACTGCCATACTCTTAGTGATAGCCCTATCGGGTCCACTCGTGTATGTATTATCTCGAAGTGTGCTAACGAAACAAGAGCTGTTTGGTTGGATCAATAGTAAGCCATTATCTAATCCCAACTCCGGCTGGCAGTCCATTGCCAACGATGTGTTCCGAAGTCCCAGATATCCGCTCCTATTCTCGTCATTAATCGGTATTTAATATGAAATTTAATTTAATAATTGAGATATAATTCAATACTAGAAAGCACTCGAAGACAAAGCTTTGAGATTAATATATAATACGTTTGAACTCTCGTATGAAATAAGGCTAACGCGGAAAGACTTGAATCGCTTTCTTGATTTGTGACATAAATTTTCAGTTCACTTTTGAATGCGTTATAAAAACATCGAAAAATAATAAGAGATTTAGTGAATGACCGAAAGTCTGAGGCTTTTCTCATATGTTTCCAAAACATAGCATTAAATGCAAATTATATTCATATAATGATAAACCTCCCAATTAATGTTAATTTATTAAAAATAATTTCTAGCCACAATATTCAATCAGAAATTAATTACTGTTTTAATCGAAAGAAAAATATAATAAAATTAAAATTCTTGGCATAAATGTAAAGAAAAAAAACTAATGTTTAGGGAAATTGTATTTTAAACACAATTTTTCAATATAGGAAGTGTACGTAGATTCACGTGTGATTAAGCACTTGTATTATTAATACATACTTTTACTTTTGCATATGTAGATAAAAATATAAACTATGAGCTAATGTTATATAAGAAACAGCTATTAACTAAACCATTACTTCAATCAGAAAATTCAATGCTTCACTGATTAGTCGTCTGACTTGTATTCAAAACCATGAGTTGTTGGCGAAAAAAATTGATTACAAGTGTTAGATAATTGTGTTGTTTTGAGTTGTTTTCAATTTATAGGTTCATTGAAAAACAAGTCTTCAGTCTTTTTTCATAGCTAATTATATTTACAATAATTTTCGATTTATTAATTATATATAATAAAGACTTTATATATATTTTTTGTGTCCAAATAGGTTCTGGCGTTCAATACATCTGTTGCTTAGGAGTGGTGGAAGTGCTGACACTTCTCATACATTTCTCCACCTCATTAGTGCTCATAGTTTTAGTAACAATTTTATTGCTATTACTTGTGGGCAGTATTGGTGGCTACGTGTCGGCCCGCTTTTACCGCAGTTTCTGCGGACAACACTGGAAATACAACTGCCTGTTGACGGCTGCCCTCAATCCCATTATGTTAACCGCTGTCTTATTTTTGACCCGAAACTTCCTACTCATGGAGTCGTCCAGTGGACTGGCATTCCCTATAAGCTTCACGCCGGCTATGTTTGTCCTACTGATAAGCTTTGGTCTGGCGCTGCCCCTGACGTTCGCCGGCTCTTACTTCGGCTACAACTACCAGACGCCCATTGAGTACCCGATCCGAGCGACGGCCAACATCCGCGACATCCCGAAGCAGAGCATTCATAATATGCTACCAATAAGTCTACTGTTGGGCGGTTTAGTGCCGTTCATATCGGTGTGGATCGTCGAGAACTACCCTTTTTTCAATTCCGGCGAATTCGTGATCACCAGCGCATCCATTCTCATCTGCATTCAGACGGCGATTGTGTTCGCATTCGTGAACCTCATGGATGAGAACCACGAGTGGTGGTGGAGGGCCTATCTCACCATCGGGTTCGCTGCCGTCTATTATTTCATCCATTGTTTCGCATTCATAGTGACCACGATCATTATCGACGACTTGATTTCCGCCCTATTGTACGCCTTTTTCTCGTTCGTGCTGTCGGTGCTCCTGTTTTCACTGATAGGAACGATAGGCTTTCTCATTAGTTTCGCGTTTGTTTGGATGACATACTCTCTGAATAAGCCGAACGCAGAAATAGATTACTCGACATTTCCAGAGGCCACCTGAGGTACCATACCTTCAAAGCTATAGGTTTACCATAAGATCTTATGTTTTATTAATTGCTTTTTTCAAACGCTTGTCGAGTCGTGTGTTTTATAAACGAATTATGAGTTAATTCAAACAAATTAATTGTAATATGATTTACCAATTATTTTTGTAAATAAAGAAATTTATTTTTTATGAATTTACGAATGTTTGCTTTAATTGCTTTTTGTAAACTACATAAAAAATTGTATTCAAATAAATCCAATTGAGAACTGAAGTGTTTGCTATGATATATGAAGTGTTGACACTGAATATACTGTGCTATCAAATGTATTTTTTGTGTTCATAAGGTATATGCCTGGGGCACATAGGAATTAATTATAGAGATTTGGCTAATATTTGAGACTTCGAGTGCTATACTCTTAGTGTTACCAATGAAAACTTGAAACACTTTTTATGATACATAAGAATATGTGGAGTGTTTTGGACTCTTAAGACTTATAGATCTCAGCCCTCAATAGTCACTCGTCTATGAATAAGTGCAATGAATTTATGCATTAATTACTAATTGAAATCAAAGTCTGCATGAATTCAATTTTCGCGAGAATTACTGTTATTTACTGTTTCTAATAATAAGCATTAAATATATATAATAATGTGAGACCTAATA